ACCTTGCAAAATTAACGATCGATCATCTTCTTACCAAACTGTTCGTTATTAGTTGGGTTCAATGACTCTCGTTTCATGTATGTATTTGCTCGTTGCTTGCATTGTACGTTTTTTATCCAATTTTCATTTCTTTAAAAGCTTACTATGCACGATCAAGGAAAACTTTTCTTTTCAATGACTTTGCACCGTAAGCATTGTAAAGAGGAGACAACTGTTAGTACCTAATTATTGCTCCTTTATTTATTTATTTATTAGTTATTTATTTATTATTAAAAAATACCAAAAGATAAAAAATAAAAAAATAAAAAAAGAGAAAAAATGAAAAAATAGAATTAGAGTAGTTAGTTTAGAAAAGGGGTTTAATTGAAAAAAAAAGGTTAAAAACAATTGAAAGAAAAAATTGAGGGCATAAAGGAAAAATCAAAGTTTCAAATCCTTTAATTAAAACGAGGAGGGATACAATTGGAACTAATTAAAATAAAAAGTCTCAATTATGGGCAAGAAAAGGCTTAAATTAAAACATAAAAAACAAATTGAACCCAAATAAATGAATGGAAGAAAATTAAGGACCAAAGTGAGTTTTTGCCCAAAAAACCCTACCAATATAAAACCCCATGCATTTTTTTATCTTTGGGATGATTTGACTGTCAACTTAAAAAGGAGACCCAACTGCTGCAATTCTCCCTCACACGCCGACTGCTTCTCCCTCACACCCACACTCTCTTGCCCATTTTCGTATCTGCTTCCAGCCTCCCTTTCGCCTCCCTTTTCCCTCCCTTTCTCGCTCAACCAGCCTCCCTCTCGCCTCGCTCCCGTCACATTACCAGCCAACCCACACGCAACGAACCCCTCTCACCGGCTAGCCAACCCACACGCAATAGCCCCTTTTCGCTAACCTACTGCTAGCACCCTCAAAGCCTCCAAACCTAAGCCTCTCTCATGCCACAAACAACCCCACATAGCAGCCTTCTCTCACACCCCAAAATCAGCCCAAAGCGAGACCTAAAAAATATACTAAAACCCTCTCAAATCGGTTCGAAACCGTTACTAACGACCCTAAAAAAACCTTATAGAGTAACCCCTTTTGGCTAGCCTTTCCCTCACCTAAAACAACTACTAAAACATCACCAAGAAAGCTTTAAGATACCCAAAAAAAAACCTCAAAAGTAGTCTCAAAACCAGCCCCGAAACATACCCCAAAAGTTTGTCAAAAGCCCCCAAATCAGCTTTGAAACCGTCACCAACATCCCCCAAAAACCTTTACAAAGCAACCCCTTCGGGCAACCCCTTTGAACCATCAAAGAAGCCCCAAAAACACCTCCAAACCAGCTTCAAAACCACCTAATAAAATCCCCAAAATATCCACTAAACGGACGTAAAAATCTCTCTCAAAATAGCCCACGAACATTTTCCTTTTTTTTATTGTTTTATGTTATTGAAAAGAAAAAAATTTAAAAAGAAAAAAAAGATCTTGTGTTGTGATTTGGTTGCTGCTTTTATTTAATTTGTTTAGATAGAAAACATATAAGATCCGTATCATACGCTATCTACAAACAGTCGCTCTTCTTTTTCGGCTAATCGAATAATCGATTATCATCGGGAATGAAAAGAGTAAGACTAACTTCAAGCTAGAAATTGAAGCCACGGGATCTTTAGGTAAAAATCCTAAACTACTGTACTTTCAAAACATGGTTTGTAATTGCTTTGCGATGGGTGATTAATTGATTGTGGTGTGCAATATGATTTTAAAGTCGTCGATGGTCTTCAAAATCATTTTGTATGTTTTTGTATCTCGTTTCCCATCTTTATTTTTTCCTTATTTTATTTTTATTTTTATTTTTATTTTAGTTTATTTTATTTTACTTTCATTTTTATTTTTTTTATGTGCATCATGTTTGAAAATAAGCCGTCCGTTGCTTCCTACTTATGTGACGAAGCCGCGAGAGGGCCTTGAAAACATTTTTTTGTTTATTTGTTTACATATAGGCCATCGGTAGCTTTTCACTTATGTGACGAAACCATCGGAGGGCCTCAAAAATATTTTTGTTTATTTGTTTACATATAGACCGTTGGTAGCTTCCCACTTATGTGACGAAGCCGCCGGAGGGCCTTGAAAACATTTTTTTGTTTATTTGTTTACATATAGGCTATCGGTAGCTTTCCACTTATGTGACAAAGCCATCGAAGGGCCTCGAAAATATTTTTGTTTATTTATTTGCATATAAGCCGCTGGTAGCTTCCCACTTATGTAAAGAAGCCGCCGGCGACTTTTCAAAATAGTCATTTGCTCCTCTTGAGCGACATGAAGTTGTCGATGGCTTCCCACCTTTATGACGAAGTTGTCGGTAGCTTCTTATATCCATGACTCGAAGTCGGCGGCGGCTTCCCACTTGTGTGAGTGAAGTTATCGTTGACTTGTAGCTCATGCAAGTAAAAGACTATCTACATTTAGAAACTCATCTATTTTTTCGATAACGGGTCGTGTTCACTAATGATTAGCAAAAATTCTAATTTTTCTACCTTTTTTCCATTTGGGTAGGACGTATGGCCTTGCATTGGCCTAAATGCTCGAACTACCCTATTTCACACTTAAACGATCTCATCCTAAAATTTTATCAAACAAATTCACAAATAGGCATACAAGCACAACATGATAAAAACTATATTTTCATATTCATAGACAAACAATGCGAGCATATCTTAGGTAGGAAGGGATGGTGGTGATGTCATGTCTTCCCAATACGTAACCAACCCCTTACCCGGATATTCATGTAAATCGAGTATATTTAGGATTTTCCTAGTTCCCTCTAATTAGCTAGGTGGCGACTCTCTTATCTCGGCCCATTTCCCCACTCCTATCGGGCCAACGTCGACAAAATTATTCAAGACCTAGATAAACAACTTTTATTCATTAAGGTTCATCGAGAAATCATTCTAAAGTCCTTGAATAGGCAATACCAAAGTCGGACGAAACTACTCCTCAATAACACTTGGTTTGGCCATTTATTCCAACCCACATTAACCATGTTTTAGTCCAATTAAATTTCAGTTCAAGTTCAATCCAACTCATTTTCACATACTTGGACATGCACTAGGCATTATAAACATCACAATTCATCACCTACACAACATCCACAAGTAAAGCAAGCCAAGACATCAAACGACCACTAACACAAATCAAAGTCAACAATACACAAACAACTCAACCAATACCTAACTTATACACATAAAAATGGGCATGTAAAAGAATAAATAAACCAAAGAAAATCACTTAATTAGCTTAGGTATGGTTAGAATTTCCTTGGCTTTGCCTTCTTTCTTTTCCTTTCCTCTTTTGTCGTTTCACTCTTTCTCACTTTTGTTTTCTCTCTTGTTCATGAGCTACGATTTTGGACTAACAAAATGACAGCCATGCACTCCATTTCTATATATATATATTCTTCATTTCCTTATAGTTAAATAGGTGTACAAATTGCTTAATTTAATTTGGGTGAGTGGAAAGTTATTAGTAAGTCATGAGAGAGAGGGTGGCGATTTGAGAGGTTTAGGGTGAGCTAGACTTAATTCATTAATTAGGGAGTTTAGGTGTCCTAATTAATTGGTTAGAGTAAATCAAGTAACTAAACACATTTCTTTCCATTAAACTTCATAAATTCCTCTCCCTAAACTTGGAATTTTCTTTCCCCAAAAATGTTCCAGTAGTGATGCTTCAAGACCATCCTATACTAAAATAGTCATAACTCTTTATATATAGGTTTAAAAATCACAAAATTTTACAGAGAGCTAGTAGAAACATAGAAAAACAACTTTTATTCTTTAAGTTTTACCTAAAAATTAATCTAAAGTCCTGAAATAAATCATGCAAAATTCGGACAGAATATAGTCCTCAAAACACTAATTTTGCATATTTGATTTCTTTAATAATTAAACCATTAATCTCAAGTACAATAACATTAATTTAACATAAATCACATATTTTAAGCATTAATTTCTCATTGTGTGATGAGAATTATACTTACTCTTAATATATATATATGTGTGTGTGTGTGTGTGTTGCCTTACGATTAAGAATTATCATGGAGGTTATAGTACATAAGCAATTAGTTGCAAGATCGACAAAGAAAGAAATAAAAAATAGAAGAGAGAGAGAGAGTAATAATTGTGGGACGTTTTGCATGATTCATTATCATCAATTTCTCTTTTGCTGAACCAATTATTACCCCGTTCAATTCCATACTAAACTGCCACCGGAAGTAAATCAAGAAAAAAAAATCACAATCCTTTTCATTGGTCAAAAGAAAGCTTCATTTAATCCATCATTTCAGATTATAAACCAAATAGATAGAATTTTTATTTATTATTAAAATTGTTTACTTCATTTTGTGATAAATGTACTATTATTTATTTCATATGAAAGGATTCACAATGTCCTGAATAGATCATTTGGATAAATGTAACTATTTGTAATAATTTTATTCTTTTGGTCTATAATTTTAGGGAATGGCTAGATTCGTACAATAAGTTTTCATCAAAGGCTGCATCCTTAAGCGTCACGGAAATGGTAATGGTTTCATAATCAATGTTTTGGCCCAAACATATAATAGCCTATTAATTTTGTATATGATGACAATTTATATTAACATTTATATTAATGCATATACGTATATAAAAAAAAACCCTTTTTTTAATGAAAGTAAATTGATTTTAAATTAGAAAAAGGACCAAGGCTAGAGTTCAAATTAAAATGGGTATTAATATTACCAAGCCCACTCCAATCCCAACCCAAGGTAATCCAATAGCCCACGGCTGTGCATGACTCTCACGCACCTTCTATTTGTGACAGCTAAGTTGAAGTTGACTCGGACATCTCTGGTGCGCGTCCAATATAGAACTGGAGATATAATTATGGAATTCTTTGAAATAACCTGAGTTGTTGACGCCCCATCTCACCTTCTGTAATCATGATGGTCTGGAAAAGACCAAGACACGTACAGATCTAGAGATTTCAAGCGCAAAATGCCACGGAAGAGATAGGAGGAACTTTTGGCCACCACTTGGTCGATCATGTTAGTGTAAATGCCTTAAATTCAACTTGTTTAGATTGGTTAATACACTGTATTATTTTATTTTAATATTAATAAATAAGTATTTTTATTAATTTTTATTATTTATAATTTGATAAAATTAGATAAAAGTTCATATGATATGCATTGCATTAATAATTGATTAATAAATATGATATAAACATTAATGTATTTAAATAATATTATCAAATGACCCAAATCATATCATTATCAAGAATAAACATTGACAAGATACGTTCAAACTTTCAAAAACACATTAATCAATTTTTATTTTTATTTTTATTTTTTGTAAAATCACACATATACATAAAATAAAATAAGTCAAAATAAATATCAAATGATATTATAAATTATAAAATCTAAAATATAATTTAGAGACATACTAGTCGATTGTCTGCATTACGTTGTAGGTTCGTTAGAAAAAATCATTTTTAATTTTTTAATTATAATTTTTTATTCACTTAATTTTTTTTATAAATTTTTTACTTAAAAAAAAAAACATAAACCATTCTTCTTTACGGATTGATTTTAAAATAAAAAATATTAATCAAGAATTAAAAAAAAATTAAATATAATTTTTATAATATTGGTTCCTTTAAAAAATTATTTTAATTGTTTTATTTCAAACAAATTAGTTCTATAATATTAAAAAATATATATATAGACTTACATAAAAATTAACCAATGAAAAAATAAAATTTTATTCTTATTTAATATTGGTGAGAAGATTTTTCTTTTCAAGTATATGCATTAGATCTATATATATTTATTTACAAAATAATCAATACAATTAGAATAAAAGCTGTATTTGAATAATTAGTTGGTTCCTTTAAAACATTATTTTAATTATTTTATTTCAAATAAATTGGTTCTATAACGTTAAAAAAAAAATTCATGGTACATAATTTGTATAATGTTGGAAGCTATATAATTAATTTTAGATAAAATCAATAATTCAATAGTTTTTTATACGTCTTGACCATATCTAGTGAACTGAGACAAATTATTTAAAATACACTTTTAATCTTTTAAAATAAAATAATTATATATTTATATATATGAAAACTATCATTTAAAAATTGTAAGAATTTATGATATATATTATACCAATTTATTTTTTAAAAAGAAAAAAAATCATGTTTTAAAATTTTATTCTAAAATTCAAACATAGAGAAAAATAAATTATATCTATCGGTAAGTAAAATCTTGTATAAAAAAATATTAATTGGATGATAATTTTTATAATAAATGATAAATTCAAATAATGAAATTTAAATTATAAGAGTAATATAAGCTAAAGTATATGTTAATTTTAATATATATATATATATATAGATGAAAACCCATAATAAACAAATTTAGAAAAAAAATATATGTTAATATTTTTTTCATTACATTGCATCAAAGAAATAAAGCAAAAATTAACATAAAAATGTTTTATGAAAATTAACAAATGAAACTTTTTTTCGATGATAAGATTGTTGTTTTTTTAAAATATATACATTTGAATTATATATATTTATTTACAAAATAATGAATAATATTACTATACAAAATTGCATTTGAATTATTAGGCAATTATTCTAAAATATTATTTTAATTATTTTATTTGAAAAAAATCATTTTAAATATTAAAAAATTATAACAAATAGTTGGTATTATGTGTGTAGATGCACAATTGATTTATAATAAAATCAATGACTCTAATATTATTTTTTTATACATCATGACCATACTTAATAGTGAGAATTTTTAAAATAAACTAAAAAAATATTTTAAAAAAATTAAATTATAAAATATATATTGAAGCGAGTAGAGTGTAGTATAAACTACAAAATTGATTTTGATAAAAGTTGATTATATAAAAAATAAAATGCATATATTCAATTTTTAAAAATTAATTATATATGAAATAAAAAATAAAAATAGATATAAAAAAACTTACTCGAATTCATACATAGAGAAAATAAGTCATATTTATTAATAAATAAAATTATATAAAAATTAAGAATAAAAATTAACTTGATGAGAATTTTTATAGAAAATATCAATTTTAAATAATAATAGTAGTTTATTTATTCTAAAATCTTAAAGCATATAATATAAACGTAAAAAATATCATATATATATATATATATATATATATATATATATATATATATATATATATATATATATATACATATATATATGTATATATGTAAAAAAAAAAAAAAGAATAACAATTGATTTTTTAAAAAATTTTAACACCTATTAAATAAAAAAAGAACATAAATTGATGAAAAAAGCAAAGAAAAAAAAACATGTGTAGGGTATCGGTTAAAGAATTGAAATTTTTATTTTAAAATTTTAGAGATCAAAATAAAATAATCTAAAAATTTCAAAAAATTAAATAAAAAAAGAACCTAAATTGATTGCAAAAAAAAGGCAATTGGGGGGGGGGGGGGGAGGGGAGGCATGTATACTAAAACTAAAAAAAAAACAAAAACAAAATATATCATATAAATATAAAAAATATCGTGTATATTATATAATAGCCAATTTATGTAAAAACAAAAATAACGATTGATTTTTCAAAATTTTAACACCTACTTAAATAAAAAAGAAAATAAATTGATGAAAAAAATCAAAGAAACATATAAATGTAAAAAACATCGTATCTATTATATAATAGTCCGTTTGTATAAAAAAAATGATTGATTTTTCAAAATTTTAAGACCTAATTAAATACAAAAAAAAAGAACATAAATTGATGAAAAAAAAAACAAAATTGATTTTTTAAAATTTTAACACTTAATTAAATAAAAAAAGAATATATATTGATGAAAAAAGGAAAGAAAGTAAAAAAAAACCATGTGTAGTGCATCATTAGGGGATTAAAATTTTTATTTTAAAATTTTAGAGATCAAAATAAAACAAACCTAAAGATTTTTTAAAATTAAATAAAAAGAATCTAAATTGATGAAAAAAAGAAAAGAAAAGGGGGAAAAACATGTATAGTGAAACTAAACTAAAAAAAGAAATGAAAACACTTGCTATAGGAATCACTCGAAAATAAACTACTTAAAAAAAGAAAAAAAAAAAAAAAAACCTTGTTTGTAAAAAGTAGAGGAAAGGCTAGGAAAGGAGGGGAAAAAAACAAGTAAAGTGTTTTCGAGTATTAAGTAAAACCAGAAAAAAAAAAAACAGCTAGAGAAAACACACATAAATGCATCTATTAGAAGTCAAAGTCGGGTTTATTGCGTAGAAAGCAATTATCCTAACCATTGGACTACAAATGCTTTCTTATGCTTCAATTACAATATACATATATACATACATACATACATACATAAAAGGTGAATAAGGTTGTGAACAAGTCAAAGCCTCATGTCTTTTAGATATATAATAATTTATTTGAAATATACTAAAAGTTTAGATAAAAATAGCATCAACCCCCGCCCAAATGAAACAAATAATAGAAACAATGCTTATTTGCAACAATTTGCCAATTTAACCTCTATCTCAAATATATTATCGATTAATCAACTTATAATCCATGTAATTGATCAACAAATCAACCAAAGTCATAAAAAACCAACAACATAATCTTATCAAATCAAACAACAAAATCAAGATTTAACAAATAAAATAAAGAGTAGGGACTTGTTGCCTTGATTTTCAAATTACCAATAAAACTAAAGGAAAATGTAAACGTGCCGTAGCACTTTTACTATGGATTGACTTGTTCACTCTTTCTTTCTTTTTCTTCTTTTTTTTTCTTCCCCTATGCTTGTTGTAGTTAAGTCTCTCAAACTTAACTTTTCATAATTATTATTATTTTTTTCTTGCTTGAGCCAAAGCCTTCTTTTGGCTTTTAGTAAACTTTATTTTTATTTTAGTTCCTGTTTTGTAATCTTTTTCTTTTTTTTTTTGGTCATCAAAATTTTATTATATTAGATTTTTTTCCTTATAATAAATATTAAAAATTTAATGTATTTGATTTTTGTCCTTATAATAAATATTTTTTCTTGGCTTTTAGTAATTTTTTTTATTCCTATTTTGTGATATGTTTTTATTTTATTCATTAAAATTTTATCATATTTGATTTTTATCCTTACTATACTAAAACTAAAAAAGTTTCACTATCCCAAGCTTAAGCTTCTTCTTCTTCTTCTTTTTTTTTTTTTTTTTTTTTTTTTTTTTTTTTTTGCTTTTAATGAAAATTTTCTTTCTATTATAATTCCTGTCTTGTGATTTTTTCTTTGTTTTGGCCATTACATTTAGTAGAATTTTATTTTGTAGTCCCTTTTTTTGTAATTTTTTTATTTTGATCATTAAATTTTTATTATATTTGATTTTTTCTCTACAAAAAAAATATTTTTAAAACATTTTGTTACGTTTTGGGGTTTTATTTTGTAATCTTTCTTTTATTTTGATCATTAAAATTTTATTATATTTTATTATTATTCTTTCTACACTAAAATTAAATACAGTTTCACTATTCTAAGTTTTTTTTTTTTTTTTTGCTTTTATTAATTTTTTTTCTTATTTTGAGAATTTTTTTCTATTATGTTTTACTTGTGTTCTTGCTTTATGCATAATGAATTCTTTTGGTCCGATTGTTTATAAGGTTTTTTTTTTCCACTTTTAGTGAAATTTTTTTATTTATTTTAATCATTTTTTTATGATCTATATTTTGTTTTGATCATTAAATTTTTATCGTGTGTAATTTTATCTCTATTTGTTTTGCCAAATTCTCGACTTAACATGTCGCTACTCGACGTCGGATGAGACTCCCAAAACAAAAATCTCTTAGTTTAAGATTTATTTTTATTTAGAAAATTATTTTACAGAGTTTGGAGTCGCCATCTAGTATTGAAGGAATAAGAACCTAAAATTGACATCGGTTCGGAGATTATATGGCAAGAAGTTGGTCATGCTTATGAGAAGATATTTAATTACCCAAAAGCGCCCTTTCCTAAGAAAGATACCATGTCTAGTTTAGTTCTAAATTTATCTCCTAAAGTATTTTATTTTTTCCAAATCATTTTTCAATTTTGAAACTTCGATTTTCTAAGTTAAATTAAATTTTTTATTTTTGAGCATGACATAGTATTGAAATGATCGTTGGACCCCTTCCGTTGGGAGACGGGTTGATTCAAATATCCGATCCACTTTTTGAGTCTCCACACAACCGGTGTATCGGAGAATAATTGTTTATTAAAAATGAATTTTTTAGCTAACAATAGTCCCTATCGGATAAGAGACTTTATTAAAAGTTTTATAAAATTTTTTTTCGTTTTTTATTTTTTACTTTTCTTTTATTTTTTTTTCTTCTTTTTTTTTTATTTGGTGGAAGATCGTCATCAATCCCTAAAGAATTAGGAGACTTGATAGTCGTCCATCCATTATTTACGAAGCCTAATTACCAAACAAAATACATTAAGCTACATTAATCAAGTAAAAAAAATACTAAAGTTCAAATTACTAACAAAAATGCATAAAATAAATTCGAGGTTAAGTTAAAACAATTGCGAAATATTAAACTAACAAATCCTAAATTAATATAACTTAACTAACATGCATAAACAAACTTAAAATTACATTACATTAACTCAAATAATTAACTAAATTTGAAATTAGACAATTAAAAAATATTAAACTAACAAATTCTAAATATAAATTAACTAACATGCATAAATCAACTCAAAATTAAAATTGCATTAACTAAAATAATTAAAGATGACTCACTACTTGAGTTAATTACGAAAATGCATAATAATAATAATAATAATAATAATAATAAAACATATTTTGTTTTTATTCTTTTATTCTTTTTCTTCTTCTTTTTAAGAAGGGAGAGAGGAAGGGTTGTGCAGGGCGAGCTGGCGGGAGAGGTTGCAGTGAGGTATGGGAAAAAGTTGTGGGTTATAGCAATAAGAGGGGGGCCTACAAGTTGTAGCTAGTTATGGGCTACTTGAGGGCAGTGTAATTTCCGAGTTGTTGGAGTTGTGATTGTTGACTTAGGGGAGAGACTGTTGAAATTTGCAGCAGTAGGATGGTGTAGGTGGAGGTTGCAAGTGGAAGGGATGCTGAAATTATTGACCATGTAGAGGAGGTTGTGGGCTGCAAATTGCAGCAGTGAGGACTATTAGAGTGGAGAGTTGTTGGAGCCAAAAGGATGATGCAAGTTGAGATTCAAGGTTGAAACTATGAACCAAATTGGTTCATAGGAAACAGAGGTTACTGAACTGGAGTTTTCCAAACTGAAATTTGAAATTGGTTCCCAAAAGTTGAAAATTTATACATGAGATGAACCCTACATCTTTTTTCTTTTTTTTTTATTGTAAAGATTGCAAATAAATTAAAATTCTTTTTTCTTTTTGTCTAATCCCCCCCTTTTTTTAATTAAGCAAACATAAACTAAAACCAAACAAAACTAAAATAATAATAAAAAATTGAGAAATGAATAAAAATTAGGGTATGACATAACAAAGCTTTTTTGTCTTTTTTTTTAGGTGGCCTCTCTATTTAATTAACAAATTACAAATGAAGAACATATGGTAAAAATTAATCATCTAAAACTCAAAAAGCTGTCATATCATTATTTTAATTCAAGTTATTATAAATATTTTTAATAAAATACATATTTATATCAAACAATGTCTAATTAAACTTTAAATTACTCAACTTTGCAGATTTTTCAAAATATAAGATTATGTTTGGTTCTTTTTTTTAATTTTTTTTATGTGATCCTTTTAAATAATTATTTTTTAATTTTATATTTTATATTTTATATGAATGAACATATAAAAATATTGTATAACTCACGATACGGCAACGCACGTTATATATACTAGTATGAAACTAAATTACAGTGAATAAGAGGAATTAAGGAATACACAATAGAATAGTAACAAAATTAATTCTACAATTTAAATTCCTTTTAACAACATAGGCTAGTGCAATTAAAGATTTGAAATTATTTTATCTTCAATTAGGTCCAAAATCAAGTAATTTTGATTCAATAAAACATCAAAAATTTTTATTAATCACATAATTATTATTAGCAGAATATGGGTCAATCAAATAATCATGTAATATATAAAACTCGTATGAAAATCAAATTAAAAATTGAAAAATGAAGGGGTTTAATTACCTAAATCCGAAGAAAACAGACTAAAATACAAAGACAGACAAGGTATGAGGATTGATGTGTGGAAACAGGGATAAATTGAAATAGAAGAGAAGGCGCGTGGAGCGAGTGCAGATGGTGACTAAAACTCTCTTGCGCGCGTGGAGGGACGTCGGTCATTGAAATGTGGTCGGTCTGATGATGCTATAAGCCTGTAATTGTCTTATCAAACCAATGACAACAGTGGTGCGCGTGGCTTAGGAAGGATCGGTGACGGGGAGCGGGAAGAGGCAACGTTCTTCCTTCTTGTCCTACTCCTTTCATATCTGTTTCTGTTAGTGTGTGCTGCATGTTCTTTTTCCCAGCCTGCTTTGCGTATGCGTATGTTACTGCTTAGGTTCATCGTGTTTGAAATAAGGTAGTGTAGCCGCTTTAGGGTTTCCTTTTCTGATTTTTTTTAATTATTATATTGGGTTGAATTGGGTTTCGGTTCCAGACCTAAAGTCTGGCACGCTTGGGCCAGGGGCCCGCCTAGGCTGCCTAACCCCAGTTCTCAATTTTTTTTTTTAACTTTTGTTTTTTAATGATTTTTCTTTCCTTTTTATCCCTTCTTTTTCTTATTTTTATTTTATTTTTGTGTAGAGCAAAAATGGAGTGATGACATTTTTCATCCTATCCACTTGAAAACAGGAAATATAAAACTAGCCATGGACCATTTTTTTACTACTTAAACCACATGAGGTCAAAAATCCATGAAAAAAAAAACAAAAACAACTCACGTGCATTCTCATCCTGCAAGTCAGCCATAGACATACAGATTGGTGCTCTTCCAGGAGGCATTTTCACAACCCTTGTTAACCACACACACAAAAAGCAACTTAGGCTTTGATACTCTATCGACACCGGATATATGAAGATAAGAAAATCCGAATGCACACAAGCGCAAAAAACCTGCAAGACGAATTCAAAAAACAATATTTCGACGATAATTAATACTCAGACACCCATAAATCAACTCATAAATAAATCACAAGCAAAAATAACAATTAAACTCTCAAAAGCTGAATTATTCAAGCAATAAAATTCTAGTATGGTCGAAACTTGTGAAGTCAAAATCAACTCAAAATAAAATAAATAATTGCCAAATCAACACTCAACCTCAAGAAAACAATCAAAAAATCAAGGAAGCTGAAATTAATCTCACTCTAATTTAAAGTTGCTAAATTTTCATACACAAAACCCAAATGTATGCTCCTTCAAGCTTGAAACTCTCGGCCAAACGGAACATAGAACCTTTGGCCTTGTCTTGATGACACTCAAGTGGCAGAAGAGGACATTTGCAAGCTTGCTGGACGAAGGCTAGGAGAGTGATCAGACGATGAGGAAACTTATTTGTGTTAAAGGAAAAAAAAAAAATACAGGGTATTGTATGAAATAACATTCAAATTATTTAAGGTGTAAAGTGTATTTTTAAAAAAACTAAAAGGGTAAGGTGTTATTGTGTTCAAGCCATATGGTGTTTAACGTAATTTACTTCAAAAAGATTAATGTTTATTGATATACAAATAGTATTCAAACCATCTAATAAAAGATAAAATTGTGATAATTTACAAGGTTAAAGTTTTATCTCTAAAGTTTTGTGCTATTGTTTAAACATGGGAAAATCATACATAATTGGGTTAAATACATCTCATATTTCTATACTATCTAATAATATTTATATTAATCTTTTTATCTAGATATAATACATAACAAATTTTGTACCATTATATATTAGAACAAATCAATCGTTCTATTAACTCTTTCCATATTGGTCAAAGTTCATCAGTTGAATAATGTTTGATCAATCATACGATGATATGTGTCAAATCAATTATTTTATTTTTATCTTTTAGTTGACACATGTTATCAAATAACTAAATTTAATCATTTTGATGGAAAAAGTTATTAGAATAATGTATTTGTTTCTAATCAGTTTTTTTTTTAAATTTTTTTGTTGACATATGTCATTACATGACTGGTTAGACATTATTCAACTGATAGAGTTCAATTAATTTAACAAAAAGAGTCAACGGAAAAGGAAGAGCTGATTTGTTTCAATATTCATTAATACAGAATTTATTAGCCATAATATTTGAATAGATGAATTAACACGAGTATTATTGGATATTTCAGGAGTAGATGATATATTTAATCATAGATAATTCTAGTTTTGTGGGAGACCCATTTGAAACCTGTAATATAATCTGGGGGCAGATTTTGCCATAGTTTTCCCACAGATTTGTATGAGACGAGATTGCAAAGAAAAAAGTAGGCCCCAAATTCTAGAAACAGAGAGTTACGTCAGTCAAGGACAATCGCATCAGATAAACCAAGTCAAGCTTCCAAATATGACTCCAAAGACACAAGGGACAAAACAACGACCCAAAATTTGTAGCATTGGAGTTGGTTTAGGGTTGTTGCTTCTTACGCACAATTGACAGGAACCAAGTCCAACCAAAAATAGACAAAACCACAAGCTATGACTTGCGTTTGGGGGGTTTTTTAGGCTTGACTTGAAGTTTTAACGCAAAACAAGGAGTGATCACTGATCAGTTAAAAAGCTATCTAAATATTGTGCAAAAAACATGGCATCGAAAGCAGCAAGTCTTGGAAGCTCCCTGCTTGTGCCTTGTGTTCAAGAATTGGCCAAGGATCCTTTGGTCGCTGTTCCACCAAGATATATCCGTCATGACCAAGAAGATCCAATCATTGCTAGTTATGATCAGGTACCTCAGGTTCCTGTTATTGATATGCAGAAATTACTTGATCAAGAAACGATGTATTCTGAATTGGGCCACCTCCATTTCGCTTGCAAAGAGTGGGGTTTCTTCCAGGTACGCCTTGCATACCTACTTTAATTTCTTCGCATGTGTGAGTTCTCTTCTTCGTCAAAATTTTAACCCAAATCGTGAAATTGCCATATATTTTATGAGTGGACATACTATTGTTAGAGAAAGAAGCGAGAAAAGAAAGAACAAATTTACACCTGAAGCTATAATACAAGTGGCCTTGAAAGTATTTGATAAAATGACTAAGAGGCTAAAACAAACAATAGAAAAGAAAGAAAGAAAGAAAGAAAGAAAGAGAAAACAAAATAGAAAAATAAATATATTCTCATGGATCGACTCCTTCAAGCTTCAAACCTCAAACTTCAAACTTCAAAAGGGTTATTTTGTTTTTTGTTTTTTTTAACTTTTTAATTTTAACACACACACATGTATATATATATATATATATATATATATATATATATATATATATAAACACGGATATGTTTTGGTACTTGAAAAAAGAGAAAAATAATATAGATTTGAGATGGAAAGATTTAAAGAGAGAAATGAGATTTGTTTTTGTGTTTGAAAAGTAAAAAAAGGAGAAGATATGTGTGAAGAAGAAAAATAATTCATAAAAAAAAAAAACAATTTAGGAAAAAAAATTACTGTGAGAAGAACATCTCATCACGATTTTAAGGAAAAACTGATAAAAAATAAAAAAGTTATTGATAAAATTAAAATATAAGTAATTAAATAATTATTTTTCGAATTAGAGGTGACTAATCAATTCGTTTTTTAAGAGGGACTAATTTATAATTTACTCATAAAATAAAAGACTCCCATGATTCTCCATGTCCCTCCTCTTTATCTGTGATAATATGTTGACTCACGCCCAATCCCAAAATAACTAACTTGGATGGGTCAAACAAGGTCACTAGGCCTAGCATCTTATTGGGCCAAAATCCATTCCTCACTCAATTTGACGTGTGGGCTTGGTCCCCAAGTTCTATTGTGTGGTTGCTATAATTGAAACTGGATTCATATCAAATTACATATTCCATTGTGAATTCAAGAACAGTTCCACTGTATGTTTTGTGGTTATTGCCTGACAGACATGGCATGGCAAGATAACTAAAACTAGGTGGGGGGAGACAATGAAAAAGAGCAAATGGAAAAAGACGTGTTTTCCTTGATTTTCCACCATCTGTGGACTTTCAATTGTTACTTATTGTAACGGCCACCAATCAAATGTGAGCAACACGTTCTTTGACATGCACAGTCACAGCTATTAAAATACCGGGTCGATTATTTTAGCTAGCCCTCGCATAGATTCAGCTAAGCCTAGAATTGAAGTTAATAAGTAGGTACCGCATAAGGTCGCCTTCTTATCATTATGGGGTGTGGCCCTATATTTTTAAGGCATCGATCCCACTATACGTTAAAGGATGTGTTAAAAGAAGAAGAATAAGAAGCAGGTCTTATTGTGTTGAATGTCGTGAAATTTTAGAAAGTTCTATGAATTACCCAAATTTTGGGTTCTCAGGGAGATGATTAAGAAACTTAAAGAGTTATATAGTTAATGGCTGTTAAGAAATATTGACATAAGTAAGTACTTAAACAGAAAACGCATTGTGATCTTGGCATGGTATGCAGGCTGTGACATGTTCATGTGTCTGGGAACATCACAGACCATCATTGTTTAAAATTCTTTGTTTTCCTTTTGTGATATGACTACCTTGGCAGATTACATCCCCTATGATTCGTATAAAAGAAGGCTAAATTCCAAGACTTTCCTTATTTCTGTTTAGCCATGAACCCTTTGAATCATCAAGGCTACCTAGTTTGACTAAAGATCTTTAACAGCATTAATTTTTATCCTTTCCGCTTTTATTTCTACCTAGTTTGTTTGGTTGTTGATGATCATCGTGAAGAACATTGTCTTATCAGAGCTGACAAAATAGGAAGGAGTTTAATTGATACTTGAGAGATATCTTGATAGATGACACTCAGTTTGTGATGATAATGCATTTGATTGGATTTAATTTACGCTTTCAATTGCTTTCTATCTCTGATTTTTTCTTCAAAAGTAGATGAAATGCTAAACAAATAGAACTATCCAGTGACCTATTTCAACAAGGTTTTCTAACATTAACCGGTTGTCCAATTGCATTTTCTTTTCTCAGTTGGTAAACCATTGCGTAAGCACTTCGTTGTTGGACAAAATAAAGAAAGAACTTCAGGATTTCTTCAACCTCCCAATGGAGGAAAAGAAAAAATTCTGGCAGTATCCAGGAGAAATAGAGGGTTTTGGACAAGCTTTTGTTGTATCTGAGGAGCAAAAGCTTGATTGGGGCGATCTGTTCTTCATGGTCACCCAGCCAGCTCATTTAAGAAAGCCTCATCTATTCCCTAAACTCCCTCTTCCTTTCAGGTCACATCTCTTGCTCATGGTGTATGCATGTATTTTCGTAAGTGGTTGCAGTCGCATTTCAGTTAATTCAGCATGTTTCTGAGGGAGCCTTCATTCTATGCAGAGACACCTTGGAGAGCTACTCAGTGGAAGTGAAAAATCTAGCGATGGCTATTCTTGAACAGATGGCAAAAGCTTTAAACATTAGAGCTGAAGAAATGAGAGACTTCACCGAAGGCATAAGACAATCAATGAGGATGAACTATTATCCACCATGTCCTCAAGCAGAGCAAGTTATTGGCCTTACACCTCATTCTGATGCCACCGGTCTCACAATTCTCCTGCAAGTTAATGAAGTGGAAGGTCTCCAGATAAGGAAGGACGGGAAGTGGGTTCCCATAAAGCCACTTCCAAATGCATTTGTTGTCAACGTTGGAGATATTTTGGAGGTAACAAATGTTTTACAATTTAAGAAAAGACTGCAACTGCAAATCCCAAGGAATAAACATTCAGTAGCCGTTGGTCCATTGCTCTTGTAATCAGGAGGATATAGCATAAATTTTAGGTGGCAATTAAGAATTTAGTGGCATTCACTTTAGGAACCTTTAAATCGGAACAGCACTCTTGCACATTAACTTCTCTTGTTAGTAAAAGAAAGCTGAATAAGCCATTTACTTCAGCTTATGTGCATTTATGTGGCAGATTGTAACCAATGGTGCATACCGTAGCATCGAGCATCGTGCAACAGTAAACTCTGAGAAGGAAAGACTTTCAATTGCTTCATTCCATGGCCCAAGTTTTGATGGCAAAGTATGTCCAGCTCCTAGCTTGGTTACAGAACAAACACCAGCATTGTTTAGAGAAGTTACAGTTCAGGAGTATTTCAAGGGCCTGTTTTCTCGTGAGCTTCGAGGAAAATCTTATCTTGATACATTGAGAATACAAAATGATCAAGCTTAAAGTTTAGCCGAATTCTGTCCTATGAATATGTAAAATTACTTTATGTGAAAACAGATGTATGGAACATTATGCTGAATTGAGTGACAAAAAATGTACTTTTGATTTACTGTCATGAAATAGGAAAAACACTATTATATTACTATATAATAAAATTTGGAATCTGTTTGCATGCGTTCATTATACATTAAGAGGTAATGGTTCACAAGTAAATGCTGAACTCCTTGAAGTTTTAGTGCAAGGTGATTAGTTGGTCTTAATTAAGAATGCCTTTATTCCTTGGCTCGTTGTTCGAATAAAAAGAAAGGAAATATATGTTGGCTGTTGAGGAAATCTACAGATTAAGAGGGGTACTATTTTGCTATTGGTTAGCAGATGAAATCCATTAATATTTGTAGTCCCATGCACCCAGCATACCTATATATGGGATCAATGACATATTCATGATGCTTTTAAATGGCTCCAGGAAAGAGTAAGAGTTCAACCAAGCTTCAATTCCAATCTAATTAGAGACTGGCGGCTTTTTAGAAATGGATAAGTTCAGAATGTTAGCCAACGCAGTAACCCACAGTACAAACAAACCAAACGATATTGTGCCACTACCATTTGAGACAGCTTGATCAAGGAAGCTTAGATTGCACCTGGTGGAGTTATACAATACCTCAATTTACTTACCATCATCCTTGCCCAAAATTTATTTTATCGTTACCCTATCTACATATTTACCTGATTTTCACTTCAACTAGAATTCAATAGAACAGAATGCCTAGCTAGTTTGAGCATATATAATTGTATTTTCCTCGTATAATCAAGGAGTGCTCCTTTTTTTTTGGGCACAACTTTACAAAGATGACAATGGCGAGGGGTAGATTTTTTCAACTCCTTTTTCTTGCTTGTTTCGCTTCTGTAGTTACGGGTTGCAATGATGGTTTTATATCGGCTGTTGGGGATCCGGGGATGCGAAGGGACGGCCTTAGGGTGGCAATTGAGGCATGGAATCAGTGCAATGAGGTTGGAGAAGAAGCTGTCGACATGGGAAGTCCAAGAATGGCAGATTGCTTTGATGTTCTCAATTCTTCATCATCTGGTGACCAATCACTGTTACTTATGTCCCCAAGTTTTTGACATTTATTGGAACAAAATAACACAAGAATCTAATGGATTGTTAGTTTTTCTTCTTCTTTTTATTTTATTTTAACCCTTCACAGATTCAAGCAAAAGTTATTATGAGAGAAGCTTTCCATTATTAAAATCAATATTTTTCTTAAAGCCTTTTCTTAATTTCATAATAAATAAATAAATAAATAAATAAATAACTTGTGATCATGATTGAACAAACCCTATATCTCCTAATTAATAATATGATTCTACTAATTCCTCATTAGAAAACATATACATAGCTTTCTTAACGAGTATATATTAATTTAGTCCATATATATCTTTAAAAATTAATTAATTAATTATTATTATTTTTTTTTTGAAAAATAATTAAGTGATGACAAGTTTATGAATAAAAACATAGGATGCAATCTATATATAAACAATAAGACTTTTCAAACCATAGGATTATGGAATATGTGATATATAGGACTATTTTATTAGGAGTGATGCTAGATTTAACGAGTGAATAGTGTCACCTTTTATTTGCTGAGTTTTTCTTTTCTTTTCTTGATTCTTGATGAAGTCAACTTAATTCACAAGGTGAGCGAGCACGAGAACAGGCTGGGCTTATTGAATGGTACCTACGGAGGAATAAAGACCAGAAGTTTTGATAGGTATGCGCCGAAGAAGCAGTTGTACTTGGGTCGCAAATGCCAAGTACAAGACTATCCGAGACCATGGCAATTTTGGATGATCATGCTCAAGAGTGGCAACATGGACACTTTAGCTGCTAGATGCCCCGAAAATGGTGAAAAATCAGAGCCCTTTGCACCCGAATCTCGTTTTCCATGCTTCGGAGAAGGGTGCATGAACATGCCCAAGATGAACCATAATTATACCAGAGTTCATGGAAACAACGCCTTGAGAGGAAGTTTTTATGGGACATGGGATTTAGATGCTAATGTCAACAGTGGAGTTATTGACAACACCACTTCTTATTTCAACGTCACTTGGCGAAAGGAGATAGGGAAAGGAAGTTGGGTCTTTCATCACTACTTGAAGACATCCTCAAAGTATCCATGGTTGATGCTATACCTAAGATCGGATGCCACCAAAGGATTCTCTGGTGGCTATCATTACCAAACAAGGGGCATGTCAAAAATAGTAACTTACTTATTCCTTTCCTTTCATTAAAAGAATAATTAATTAGTTCTCCTCTCATACTCATTCTTTTGAATTTTGGACTTTTCGGAAATTTATTGTTTTAATTAATTTATCATATAGACTTTCAAAATTTTCCATATTTCATAGGTGCCGAAGTCACCAAATTTTATAGTAAAATTCAAGCTAAACATTACACAAGGAGGTGGACCAAGAAGCCAGTTCTACCTAATGGACATTGGGAGCTGTTGGAAAAACGATGGCAGCCCCTGTAATGGGGATGTGAGATCAGATGTCACAAGATATAGTGAGATGATTATAAATCCAAATACAGAATCATGGTGCTCACCGGAAAAACTCGCCGGTTGCCCGCCTTATCACACATTTCCTAATGGAAGTAGAGTTCATCGGACAAACAATGCCAGCTTCCCCTTCGATGCATATCACATGTATTGTGCTCCTGGCAATGCTCTGCATCTTGAGGAGCCCTATAATTTATGTGACGCGTACAGCAATCCTCAACCCCAGGAAATATTGCAAATCATTCCTCACCCTGTCTGGGGTGATTATGGGTACCCCACCAAGAAGGGGGAGGGTTGGATCGGGGATCCAAGAAGCTGGGAACTTGATGTTGGTAGACTATCTCAATCACTTCACTTCTACCAGGTACACTTTTTTTTTTCCCCCTTCATAGTTATACAATTTGATTGTTAGGGGTGGAGGCTGTTGTCTGATAATTGATTATGATGATGCAGGATCCTGGTACAAAACCTGTAGACAGACACTGGCCATCCATCGACTTGGGAACTGAAATATACATTAGCAATGATCAAGTTGCTGAATGGACTGTTAGTGACTTTGACATTCTCGTACCAAAAGATCATATTCGCTGACTTCGTGTCTAATGAAACCAGCAGTCAGAGTGAAATTATTAATAATAATGGATGGATTATATATAGTTATTTATTTATTTTCTGAGTAGGAAAAGGAGTTTAGAGATGATGATAGCTAGACTGGAGGCATTCTTCTACGTACCTAGATTTTCCTGATCATTAAGTACTTTTCTTATCGTATCAGCTACTGAATTATTCATTTATTAATTATTATATTGGATATATGCAATTGCAGGTGTGTCCTACAATTTTTTTTTATTATTTTTTTTTATACTAATGTAGGGAAGAGTAATACTAAAATAGTGCTAATTGCCTAATGCCCCTCTCAGCTAGCCTGTTATTTTCACTAGTCATTTTAACACATGTTTTGCAACTATATCACGGGTAAATTGTATATTAGTTCATCTAGTTTTGAGAAATTAATTAATTAGTCCCTTTATTTTAAAAAATAATTATTTAATTCTTATATTTTTAAATTTTCTTTTAATTTAATATATTTTTTTCTTTTTCAATTTATTTTATTTTTTTTAGAAATAAAAAATAATAATTAAAAAATATGGATGGAGAAAATATGATATTTTTAAAAATAAAGTAATCTTAAATTAAGAATGACTAAATGATTAGTTTATGAAACAAGAATGACTAATTAATTTATTTCCCAAAAAATAGAGGAACTAATCCTAATTCATGTTGTTTTTATTTACAGATATAGTAGAAAATTTAATATGTTGTACTAAATTTTAATTTGGATAAAGACTGGAGTTTAATTAATTTTTTAAATTCTATTATAAGTTAGAATGAAAACTTTTTCCAACCTGGTCTTGTTGACTTATGTCCTTTTTAGATTATCATCACTTTCCAATTCCCAGGCTCTTTTTGTCCAGGCATGTTTTAGTATTTGGCACTCAAGGTTGGGACATCCTCATAGTTGAGTTTTAAATTTTTCACTTCAAAATAACGCTCTCTCTAGCACTAGTAAAATTTTTAAGGAACAATGTACTTTTTCCCTTTTAGGTAAATCACATTGTTTATCTTTTCCCTCTTCAAACAATTATCATAATGCAATTTTAAATATAATTTTTAATAATGTTTATGGACTATCGCCAAATATTTTTAGGTTCTACTAGCATATATTCCGTGCGTTTTCGAAGGGTAAGCTATACAATATTCTTATGTGTTTATTCATATAAAATACAAAATTTAAAAATAATTATATAAAAGGATCTCGTGAAAAAAATTCGAAGTGAGTTATATAACATTCTTATATATTCATTCATATAAAATAAAAAATTTAAAAACAACTATTTAAAAGGATCACGCAAAAAAAATAAAAATAAAAAAAACCAAAACATATATCTTATATTTTGCCGTAGGGTTAGCTAAACGAAAAGTCTCGCGGCAAAGTTGAGTAATATAATATTGCTAATTAGATATTGTTTGATATAAACATATATTTTATCATAAATATATATACTAACCGGTAATTAAAATAATAATGCGGCAGCTTTTTAAATTTTAGATGATTAATTTTTACCATATATTCTTCATGTGTAATTTGTTAATAAGATAGAGAGACTACCTAAAACAAAAAGACAAAAAACTTTATCGGATTGAGAATTTAACAAAAAAAATAAAGATAAAATTACACATGATCAAAATTAAATGATCAAAACAAAGTAAAGATCATAAAAAAATGATAAAAAAAAATTCACAAAAAGAAAAAAAAACTTATAAACAATAAGATCGTGAACAGCTTTACTAAAAGCAAAAAAAAAAAAAAACATTTATTGCAGGGACAAAAATCAAATATGATAAAATTTTAATATTTATTATAGGGACAAAAAATAA